CTCTGGCATCTTGCATTCAGGAGCGTATAAGTATGATGTTACAATGGAAGTCCAGAAATGTCTCTCAGGAGACAAATCTCTGGAGTTCTTTGGGCATAATATTGATAAAAATGATACACACACGGTCACATATGAAGTGGCAGTTATTTTAGGATATGGGGAACCAACGAAGGCAGGGAGGTCCAACTTCTTTCCTCATCGCCACTTGCTATAGTATTGTTCCCACTTTGTATAACCTGACTTATTTGTATATGTGGGTGGGTATACAAATAAAGAGATGAAGAGATAGGTGAGTGCGCAAATTTGAACTACGACCTTCAGCTTTCACTCTTGATGGCCGCCTGTTTTCAAGGTGAACGGAAAAGTAGTAGGTCAACAGGGGTTATGCCACAACATCAAAATATATGCAAAATAAGATAGTTTTGATTATTTTCAGGCTTTTTTGAAACTCGGAAGCTAAACCTTTGTATGTGAAAGGTTTAGGGCCTCTTAGAAGGATGTGAACCGTCCTTCAGCACACTACAATGCCTTTCCCCATATATGAAGACGGATGGTACAGCAGTGTCTGTTGACTGACCGTTAACCTCCCATTGGATCGTTTGGAATTTTTCCCTTACGGCCTTCTGCTGGAGTTGTGTTGTGAAGCATTTTGGGGTGACTGAATTGCATCCATAACAGCCAGCATGGGCTTAAGGCTAATTTCGGCAACTTAGTGATGAGTGTGTGCTAAAAATCTTCTGGCGACAGGGTACTTTTTACCCTGCTCCCGAAGTATTTTGCAGACTATCAGATGGTACCCGATGTTACCCCGAAGTATTTGCAAATTGCGGTCCCCTGGGTAACGTGTAGATTGTACCGTAGTTCTGTAGGTATACTCGAAATTTATCACAGGCCGTTCTACGGTTCCCTAGTGTTTCGACCGAACAATCCGCAGTTCCGTAAGTTAGCTCGAACATGACCGAACAATCCACTATTCTCCAGGTTGTCCAGAAGCTTCTGGCAGAATATTCCACTGTTCTCCAAGTTAGCCCAGTTTTCAACCATATACCTCACTGCCCATACACTTATGCCGAGGTGCCATACATACGTTACCACAACTAAGCAGTCAGCCGGAGGGTAATATTATCGACAAAGAGAAAGTTAGGAGGCTTTCTCGTTGATTACGAGGAATACATTTAATCGAGACAAGTATATGTACGTTAAACACTGCGGTCGTTGAGAAGCTGTTCCGCGTCACTGAATTCATATACCTTCTGCTCTTCATCTTGTCCCGTGTTGTGGTTATCCATACAACCCTGGCCGGTGGATTTATAACTCTCATTGGCGTCATCACAGGTAACATTCAACGAAATAAGGATCACAGGACGAACTAGGCTCACCAAACTCGGCTTCGCTCTCTTGTCCCGTTTCCTCACCCTGTCCTTGTTGTTGTTAAACCAGTGTTGTACTTCTAGGGTAGTCATGTCAGTTGCTGAAGACTCGACTTAACCGCAGTGTCTGTGACGATCAGAAATCGCTCCTTGGAGGAATAATGTATACGGTGTACATACTCACCGATGATGGACTTGCACAGTATAGGTTTTTTGAAGGGCTTCTTCTGTGCAACTGATGACCACGAGCAATTCCAGCTGTATTTAGGTGACAGAGCGGTACCCGGCGGCGGTTCACAGTTTTCCCAACAACCGATTTCAGAGAATCATTGTGTACAGTCGCTTGACAGATGCTGTCTGTGGCATGCATACAACCAGGGACATTAACATTTTCATCACGGTTGTCTGAAATTCAGGGGCATTAGGCGAAATTTTCGTACATCGAAATTTAAAGTGCACTAACAGGAAAGTGACTGGAGTGAAATAAAAATCCGGTCAGCAATCGGATCTTGTAGTTCAGCTGGTATGTCATCAGGCCGGAATCCCGACGGTCGCTGGTTCGAACCCGGCCGCGGTTCAAATTCTTATTTCACCTTCAATCATCACCCACTATCAATGCTAGTCTGCCAAAACACGGCTATCTTGGATAGTCAAAATGACAGCCCATTTTGTTATCATTTATACTTCAACTGTTTTCAAAACTACCTTTAATGTTATAGCTATTGTTATTATTATATATTGCTTGATGTTCAAATATTCGTCTTTCTAAACTAGTAATTTATTCTCCCCCCCTTGAAGACTCACAACTCCATTGTACTTTTCATTGTTGAACTTTGTTTCCCCACCTATTTTTGTCCCACTTTATTTACAGAACTGGAAAAAGTTTCTCACCGATTCGCTAATTTACTCACCTATATCATGTTGTCCTTTTCTCCATATCACTATGTAATTGGATGATTATAAAGGTCACCTTTTGTGCGAAACTTGAACGATAACCTGTAAATTTAATGACAGCTACATACTTCTGGACAGGATCTTCCTGGCAAGATAGGAATTTCAAGGAATAATACAGAATAACTATTTATTTTTTACTACTTGTCGATATGGTTATAATTCTCCGTTGTTTTACAGGATTGAATTGTTCTAACTGCATTGGCATATGGGTTCCTATGCGGATGCCTCGATATTGCCTGAATATTTACTATGATGATTTACTTGGTTGTGGCTATCAGAAGAATCCGGGACGCGGGTTTTTCCTGCGGCGCACCCAACTGACGAGTCCTAAATAAGACAAAACGCGCGTCCTGGATCCCTCTACCAGTCACATCCAAGTCTATTGTTTATTTATTGTACAAGTGAAAACACACCTTAAACGACCAATTATAATAATACAAGACACTAGGCCACAATCTATAACGCGTGTAACGAAGTTATTAGATGGAGGGAAACTAGTTTGTGATGACAAGCTAAGCATGTCAATGCCACCAGGACCTGAGTATCATATCGAACCCGGCAAAGTATTTGCCGAGACCTACAAACTCATGTGATCACGGTGATAGTATTACGCCTCCTTCTAGCCATAAGGAAATCAACATCTGTGGAACAATAGTTGTCTGTTCACCCTCAACCCTCTTCCAATCTAGTCCAGCTCATCCTAGCCCTACACGTCGAGGTAGGCGGTGGCTAGCTATGTGCAGTAAATGTCGAAGTCACCTCAGTCGATGAAGGTTCACAACCTCATCAATCGACTTGCCCGTCTTCCTTAGTACCTTTCGCCTGACCTGAATAGTGGTCACATGGTTATTCCACCATACACGAATATTTCTAAAAAGACACCTATGATCAAAACTCTGTAACCGTGTCATGTCTTTTACTTTTCATGGCCGTTACTCACAGCCGTATAACATGATAGAACGAACTGCAGTGCTTTATACACATTCTTTGATAGATAGTTGGCACTAGAGATAACGCAAGTTGGGAAATGCAAAGCGAGCTATCTGTATTCCCACTGAGATTTCGTCAACAACCAGCCCACTTGGAGCTGATTCAGTTTCTGAGGTAGTTGACGCAGCCTACCACTGCTTCACTCCATATCCTTAAGCTAGAAGAAGTTGCAGACGAGTCATATCTGACAGGTGCTTAGCGAACTTACTCAGACTTCTGTTCAGAACGTTCACAAGGCTGTGGATTTTGTCAGGATCTTCACCTGACAGTACTCCAAGCCAACCAGATAACCTCAGCGGAGTAGATCAATCCATGTGAAGTTAGAGGTACCTAAGCCTGTCTCCATTTTAGTCTGTTTATTAGAAGTATCATGCAGTGAAGCAGTATCATTTACCGGATAACGTTTGGGATACAATTTATTGTCCATATTCATGTCAGGAAACTCCAACAACAACTTTGAGACAGAGTTTATATAGTCCTAAATTTCACTTCTTCTTTGTGATGACAAAGGTAGCAGAATTTTTCATATATCTGGGACAGGTGCAGAATCATTTCGATTGCATATATTTGATGTTAATTCGATAAACAAAAATTCGGTTATCAATCTCTCCCTCCACCCAAGTAAGCGCTTTCAATACTGTCGCTCTATCCTACCCTATTGTGGTTGGGTGCAGAGCTCCGGCCCAGTTTTTTTCTATTTCTCATTAGGATCTACTAATCTTAATTTAGCCAAGTTTTTGTGCTCTGTTATTCTAATTGACCCTGGTCGACTACTTTGACCTCGCAATCATTGCAAGCAATTTGGTAAACCAGATTATTTTGGTTAATTGCATCAACAGGATTTTTTAACCTACGAAGCCTGTTTTTAAGCGAGTTTGTTGGTTTAAATGCCAGTTTGGTCCCAGCTCTATTGAAAATTCCTCGCAATGCTTCTGAAGTGCCTTCATTGTATGGTGACAGTGTAGAGGCTTTGAATGCTTTCTCGACCGTGTCACCATTATTACTATTAGTAGTAAAATTATTATTAATAACATCTGTCCCACTGCTACCGCTAACGTTTTTTCCGACTGCTTATAAACTTATTTATAAAATTAGGTGGGTAATTATTGGGAAGTAAGGTATTCTTGAAGTGTGTAATTTCTTATCATAGATTTCCTGGCCTACTGGTAGGGTTTTTCATCCTATCACTATGGCATTTAATTAAGCCTACTTTAACCAAGATGGGATGGTAGGATTTGAAGTCGAAGTAGCGATTCGAACGCGAACATTTCCTATAGACACTAGTCTCTAAACTTCCGTCTTGTATTCCTTTCATCTTACAATCCACCATTGTTAGCTCACCTTTATCACTTTCTAATAATCAGACTAAAATAGAATTACAATCTACCACAGTGGTCAAATTTTATTCCTATATTAAGCCTATATCTCTTAGTACAACATCTGTAACGAAATTAAACAAGAACAATGACAGCCGTATACACGGTGATATACCTGATATTTTAAGCATTGAAGATTCTCGATAATTGTATTCATGGTATACAATATTACGTAACTCAATTCATATGCTTAGAATAAAAGGAGACAGCGACCAGTCAGAAGATTCATTATTACCGTGTAAATGTATGATGCGCCTCGATTTATGGTCGACCGATATATATATGTAGGAGACGACAATACACAAACTTTAATTTCCCAAAAAACTATATTTTGATAAAAAGATGCATAAAAATAAACATGTTTGATGATGAGTTCACATTACAAAAGAGAATAGAAGCTATGCAAGCCTTGTCCAATTTCCCAGATAGAAACACCTGTATTTTTTGACATAATAGTTTGAAGACGCTGAGATATTGATAATAAAGTTGGATAGAAAACCAAATGATCTTGAGCATCATTATCCCTATAAAAAGGTATATAAAGAAAAGAAATATGTAACTTGAGGTGGAAGAAGAAAGAAACTGTGTAAGCAGAAAAAATAATATCGAGCTGCGTATAAGAATAATAAAGTACGCGGGAATATTACAAGATGGATGCAGACACTGTAGAATCAATAGGTTTATACTACAAAATACTAAGAACTTCACACAACACCGATCTCTACTATATGATGATAGACACAACATAAGAAGGGTAAAAGTACCATAGATAACTCAAGCTGATGATAATCCGTAACATTATAAGATAATGTTATGCTTCAGGAACTTGTTTCAGTTGATAAACTTAGATTTAATCAAAAATTATCATCATTAGCTACTGCTTTGCATAGTATGTTGATTTTATAAACTTTTGGATGAAATTTTCACCTATTAGAGTTGAATAAATTGAGTATTCCATTGGATAAATGGATTACAAACGAAATAGTATTTTGAGGGGGTTGTGGAGATTTGGAAATATTTCAAGTTGTTATTCATCGAAGACTGACATCAGTTGGAGGAACAAAGGAAACCTGGGAGCACTGGACAGCTGTTTCGTCCTAGTATGAGCTAACAGAAGTTGGAAATATGGAGCATTGGATTCTGACCCAGTGGCTCAATGGTAACGCGCTGGTCGCGGAACCTGAAGGTCGCGGGTTCGATCCCTGGTGGTGCGGGGTCGTGGGTGTGCACTGCTGAGGAGTCCCATACTAGGACGAAACAGCTGTCCAGTGCTCCCAGGTTTCCTTTATCCCTCCAACTGATGTCAGTCTACGATGAATAACAACTTGAGAAATAGTATTTGTAAAATCCCAGTGAAGAAGAAAAATACATTTCATGACATTAGCTTGAAATTACTCAAATCCTGTTTAAAGTTGGACACTCTTCAACGTTTACAGAAAAACTATACAAACAAATTAATGGAGTAGCTATGGGTTCTCCGGTATCCCCTTGGCGTTGCAAACGTATTCATGTCTTACATTCAATCAGTCGTCTTCTTTAACTCCGTCAAACCATGTATTTGCCTTAGATACCTAGATGATACATTCGTAATTCTTAAAAGATCTGGTCTCAGAACTTATTCCAAATTAATTAATACTCATTCTTCACACATTAAATTCACATGTGAACATGAAAATGTAACCAGTGGAGTGTTTGGTTAAAAGGAATGGGAACTGAAGTCTAAGTTTATCGATTTATCATAAAGTAACACATTCAAATCGATATCTTGATTTCAACTCAACACATCCACTCAGTGCTACACTTTCACTTGCTCAGAATTGATTCAGGAGAGCCAAAAAGCTCATCACGAATGAAGATGACAAGGCAAACGGAAGTAAGTAATGTATTAGATGTATTATATTCCAATTACTACCCTTAGAATATCATTCAAAAGACTCAGAAATATGAACAGAGGGACCCGAAATGAATTTGAAATGATGATTCTTGGATTGGCACAGTAGTTCTACCATTCCACCACAGTAAAACTGAACAGCTACAAAGAAGCTTGACGAAACACCGAATTACAGATACAATTTCTTTCACCTCCACACAGAATCGTGTCTACACAGATTAGGCTGTGTTGATTGTGATGCCTATTATATTGGTCAATCAGCTTGTGAGATCCTCATTTCGGCTAAAGAACGACCACCAAATAATCCTGTAGAATTTATAAATCAAGTCGGTGATCGCGATTCATGTCATCGATCACAGTTACAAAATCGATGTTGAAAATATTAAAATTATTCGAAAAAGGTTTTTCCAACCATGGGAAAAGAAGAATAGCTGAGACATTTCACATTATGTTGAATCCAAATACACTCAGTAGAGAAATGAAGGCCTTACACTATCCAACCAACCTGGGTAGTATTTCCAAAAACAGCACACCACATACAATGTTCACAACTAAAGTGCATACTTACACATACACAAACTGAATTTGTCATCCATAGTATTGTTCTTACACTTTCACAACCAGTCACATGTGTACATATTCATATCACCTTCAATTCCAGACTAATCATGGATAAGAAAGACAAGTTTGAACGCTTCCTGACCAACATAACAATGACATACTTCATTGATAATATGTTGAAATTATCAAGGCGTAATCTGGCTTATTAACTTACCGACAGACAGCAATCGAGTCTCCGATTGCTCGAATGAAAGATGAGAAGGTTGAATGTGTAGTTACGGAGGAGATAACAAAGCAGCATAAATTAAAACATAACAGTAATCCTCATTTACAGGCAGCCTGATGTATTATTTGGAAATCTGTATTCAAAGGTTAGCCAAAAAACCAATGGGTGTTCACAATCTCATATGAACTGATTGATTTGAGAACGAGAGACATCGTCTTGCAACAAAATGTAGATAGGTCAGTTTGACTACTATCATATCCAATATCTAAGGCTCTATAGTAATCCAACAAACACCCAAATGGCCAAAGGTGCAACAAACAAATCTTCACCCTCCAGTAGGCTTTAGAACATATGCATACGTACAAGTGACCGACCTGACAATCATATTACACTCTGGAGATTGACAGGTGTTGTGGCAGTGTTTGACAGTGAGAGGGAACACTGAATAGTTATTCAATCGCAATGAAAACTCTCTATCAAGTTAGAATTAGGTTAGATGAATGAACAAAGTGGATGAAATCTCTTCCTATTGGTGTGAACCTCACATAGAAAAATAGCCGACCTGACTTGAAGGTCTTCATTATTATTATTTGTCCCATGAGTTCCTAGTGGAACACAGGGCTTCAGTAGCACGTCTCCGTTTTACTCTCCACTCCCCACTCCTTTTCTTTAACCTGGCTCCACGACCCCCCATACCCTTTCATTTCTTTTCTTCCTCACACCACCTCATACATGTCACCCTCACTCGCGACACCAAACTCGCCATTTCCCACGCAGGTTCCACTCAACGATCTCGCCCGGTGCGTGATGTCCTCGAATGGTCTTCTCCGTGTGTGCCCAATCCACCTCCACTTTCTTCTTCTGCAAATTTGTTGGGCCGCAGCTCCTTGCTCGTTGGTTGATTGCCAGCCACAGTTCCTCCTTGCTTATTCTTTCTGCCCATCTGATCTTCAGTACCGAGTTAGCGTAGGTGGCAGCTGTTCATCCGTGATGTCTGTAATCTGTTGGAAATGCCTTCCACAACGCGCCAAGTCTCTCAACCATCACATAAAAGCACTCACTTACTTGACTGAATGAATTAGTGTTGAAAATCCGGATCTTGTTCACACTTCATGCTGGGTGAAGTGCAGTGGAGTAGATCTCCACACTGATTATTTCAGGTTAACAAAGGCCTGTCCTGCTGCCTTCCTGATCCTGGCTTTGACGTCCTCATCTGTGCCACCACCTGTGGTTGAGACGATGCTGCCTAGTTGGGTAGGTAGGTGAAAGAGATTACTTCCTTCAGGTTTCGCCCGTTACCGATGATTGGTGACCCTTGTTGTTGGTTGGGCATATATATATATATATATATATATATATATATATATATATATATATATATATATATATATATATACATATATATATATATCGTGGTTTATATACTTCCACGTAGTATTTTTGTGCTCTTATTTCAAATTTCGTCTGCTGCTTGCTTTTGTTATTCATATTTCAGGTCTACCTAACCAGTTCTTCATCTATATGGAATCCTAGTGATAGTATTTGTCAGCGTGCACTATGCCATCACAACTTTATGAGGAATGCACACAATCTAAGGTCACGGCTGTATTACCCACCCTACCTTCAAGGATATTCGATGATTCAGATAATAGCTGAATACTTCCTAGTTTCAAACTTAGCTTGCTTCAATCTGAAGAACATTTATGTTGGTGTTTATCTTTTTTATTCTTTGTTGTCTGTGAAGCATTAACGTTCTTTCTTTAAACTCATCTCTTATGTGTCATGAATAATGGTGTCTAGTGTATTGCTTGATATTGTACATAACAGTCAGTTCACATTACCAAAATGATCAGACCTGTAAACTGGTTTGTTTTCATGCAGCTTACGTTACATGAAATATATTACATTATTATTATTACTATTATTATTATTATTATTACTATTATTATTATTATTATTATTATTATTACTGAAGTAGATGCATCGCATAAATCACTAATATTTCCTCGTAGTTATTTCCACTTTTTATCATGAGGTATTTGACCAAGAGAGAGATAGGGATGTAAAAGAAAAGTAGCAAATAACTGTGTAGTAGTATAATGCTGAACAAATGTCACAAAGATCGTAGAATAATTACAGTATACAGTAATGTAGAAGACACATCATCTCGGTTCACTCTGATAGATGTTAGTCGAATCGAGGCAATAGATAAGATGCTCTGGATGTTGTTTTTGTGATGCGAAGTGGTCTAAATCAGAAATCAGCATACTAAGTCATCAGCTGCTAAGGTAGAAGTTTAGAATTTCGACCTTGGTTTCATGTTACTCTGTGTAGGCAAGAAAATCCTTATTGGATAATTTTGTCTTACAGCTGATCAATCAGAATAAGTATCCAACGTCTGAGGGAGAATTGTACATAAATGATGTACTTTTTGTGACATTAACTTTCTTCCATAAACTCACAAGCCGGTCTTTGTCTTCTGATATTTTTGCAGCTCAGTGAAGTATGAGATTTTGAGGGAGAACAATAACTATTCGTATCCAGTCCGAGCGTCCCATTGAGTTAGTAGTGTTCTTGTAATTAGTATTATCCTGTCAGTCACTTCAGTTAGCAAGGCTGTCGAGTTGCAATTGATCTTCTGAAAGAATAGATCATATACTGCTATAACCGGTAGTACAACCTGACAGTCAACAAGTGACACGAGCCTAGCGGACTAGGAACGATACGAACCTAAAGCAAGAACGAATCAACTAACACAAATCCGAACGTCAACCACTACCACCACAACGACAATACCACCGACGCGCCAAGATAAGAAGAGAGGACAGACCGTTGATAGAGAGATTTTTACTATGTTAACAACAGTCAATATAGTTGACAGCGGTGCTGCATATATACATTTCTAAGTGACCTTGACAACACTAAATCTACATATAATTAACAACCAATGAGAGTTCAGCCTTGAGAGGAGAGAGAAGAAGAACTAGTAATGATGTGAAAACAGCTATGTAGGTTATGGGCAAATTAAGGGGTATATAGCAGATACACTGACTGATCACCGAGGAATTACCAATTACATGTTACCTAGTACTGAGGATTGACCGATGTTTATCGATCATTTTGCAGTATGGGCACCAAGCTACAAGAATCACCGTCATGTCGATTGAATAACACTCAGCATGCTTGTACACTTACTAGACTAACAGTTGTATCGAAGCATACTTCCCAATTATTCAAACTACATTTATACATCTAAGTCAATTGTTGAGAATCTCTTAAGTAATCAACTATAACGCCATATAGAAACATAAAGCCAATGTAATAAAAAACATTCATTACAGTGGGAATGACTTGTTGAACAAAGAAAATAACAGCTTACTTGTAAGTGAAACTGTGTTCAGCCCATTGTTTATGCCAGGTAAAATTTGGTCGGTGACTTTGAAATACTTCAACAATCCTAAATAATCAAATATATAAGTTTTTTTTTAAAAAAAAGGAGTAAGGAATAGTCAAAGAGGGAATCAACTCTTAAGAGAAGGTGAATTTCCACTAATTACAGAAGTTTAAATCTTTCTAAAGCGTATTTATAGGTGAATAATATTACCGATAAGGAATTGTTAAATTGTCGACAATGAATTTAGGAAAAAACAAACAATATGAGCGAAGAAATATTTCTTTTCAATAAGTTCCTCATCAATCGAGCTCTCTATCTATCTATCTATCTATCTATCTATCTATCTATCTATCTATCTATCTATCTATCTATCTATCTATCTATCTATCTATCTATCTATCTATCTATCTATCTATCTATCTATCTATCTATCTATCTATCTATCTATCTATCTATCTATCTATCTATCTATCTATCTATCTATCTATCTATCTATCTATCTATCTATCTATCTATCTATCTATCTATCTATCTATCTATCTATCTATCTATCTATCTATCTATCTATCTATCTATCTATCTATCTATCTATCTATCTATCTATCTATCTATCTATCTATCTATCTATCTATCTATCTATCTATCTATCTATCTATCTATCTATCTATCTATCTATCTATCTATCTATCTATCTATCTATCTATCTATCTATCTATCTATCTATCTATCTATCTATCTATCTATCTATCTATCTATCTATCTATCTATCTATCTATCTATCTATCTATCTATCTATCTATCTATCTATCTATCTATCTATCTATCTATCTATCTATCTATCTATCTATCTATCTATCTATCTATCTATCTATCTATCTATCTATCTATCTATCTATCTATCTATCTATCTATCTATCTATCTATCTATCTATCTATCTATCTATCTATCTATCTATCTATCTATCTATCTATCTATCTATCTATCTATCTATCTATCTATCTATCTATCTATCTATCTATCTATCTATCTATCTATCTATCTATCTATCTATCTATCTATCTATCTATCTATCTATCTATCTATCTATCTATCTATCTATCTATCTATCTATCTATCTATCTATCTATCTATCTATCTATCTATCTATCTATCTATCTATCTATCTATCTATCTATCTATCTATCTATCTATCTATCTATCTATCTATCTATCTATCTATCTATCTATCTATCTATCTATCTATCTATCTATCTATCTATCTATCTATCTATCTATCTATCTATCTATCTATCTATCTATCTATCTATCTATCTATCTATCTATCTATCTATCTATCTATCTATCTATCTATCTATCTATCTATCTATCTATCTATCTATCTATCTATCTATCTATCTATCTATCTATCTATCTATCTATCTATCTATCTATCTATCTATCTATCTATCTATCTATCTATCTATCTATCTATCTATCTATCTATCTATCTATCTATCTATCTATCTATCTATCTATCTATCTATCTATCTATCTATCTATCTATCTATCTATCTATCTATCTATCTATCTATCTATCTATCTATCTATCTATCTATCTATCTATCTATCTATCTATCTATCTATCTATCTATCTATCTATCTATCTATCTATCTATCTATCTATCTATCTATCTATCTATCTATCTATCTATCTATCTATCTATCTATCTATCTATCTATCTATCTATCTATCTATCTATCTATCTATCTATCTATCTATCTATCTATCTATCTATCTATCTATCTATCTATCTATCTATCTATCTATCTATCTATCTATCTATCTATCTATCTATCTATCTATCTATCTATCTATCTATCTATCTATCTATCTATCTGTCTATTTATTTATTTAATTTATTTATTTATTTATTTTACTTTTTATTTATTTATTTATTAATTAATTTATTTTTTATTTATTTATTTATTTATTTAATGTTAGGCAGTACATATATGAATAGTAAACAGAATGCTGGGAGCATCTTGACTAGAAAACACAGGCAAGCCTTAAATAAATTCCGAATGAATAAGAACATATTGATCACTAGGCCCGATAAATGCTCAGGGGTGGTTATTATGAACAAAGTGGAAGCGTTTATTGATTTCTATCAATGACATTCTAGTTGATGGTGTACAGGATAGGCATTTTCTGATAAAGTTTCGAGGGTAACCGTTTTTGTTTAGACGTCAGGTGATTTTCTACATTTCTCCGTGAAGTTGTACTTAAGTGTGCTGTCACTCCACAATTAAACAACTCAGCTTAGAGAACAGAATACAACCAAGATCACGTTTATACTACTATGAGATAATAGCCTCTATTCGTTGTCAGTACATTTCTCTACAAGAAGTGAAAGTTTAGAAATGTTCTTGAAGACAAACATTATGCTGAATCATATTTTGTTTCAATCTTTGACGCATGCCTTTTAAACGTATCATGTACTCTCGCACATTTTTAAAAGTGTTTTCACTTACCGGCTTTTATATTCAATAACAAAAAGAAGAATAATATTTATGTTAGTCGGAAACTGATTCTTAAATCTAGTTCCCATGAAAAACGATATTCAAACCAATCGCTATCCTAAACCCTTACTGAAAATCTTTACGTTGTAAAACATTCAACTAAATGAGAAGACACTTAAACGATATGCATTTAACTCAATTGTTTCTGTGAAATTATGTTCAACTGATGAATCAAATGAACAGCTTTCACAGTGATCAGAAATTATCAACCAATAGTGACATAATAGAGAAGACTGACAGGCAATTAACTGAATCCTTAAAGAAGTTGAAACCGCAAGGCTTCATTTCATAAAGTGTGTATAAAACACTCAGACCTATGGGTACACTAATACCAAGGGTATACGGTTTACTAAAAGTGCATAAAGACGGATTTGCCACTCCCACCAAATCCTCCATATCATGCGCACCAACGAAAGGGCTAGTACAACTCTTACAACCATTGTATAAGGAAGTTTATGACATTTTTAGACGTATGTATCATCCCTATTCACAAATGTCTCTCTGATGGAAAAACTACATTCCATATATAGCGAGCTGACAAAGAGAAACTGGAATTATGGCATCTACCTTGAAACAGCTTCTCTTAAGATGTACAATAAATGTACACTTTCTCTTCAACAAAGAATACTACGGACAGTCAGACGGTGTAGCTATGGGGTCACCATTAAGTCAAATCTTAACGAAATTAGAAAATGACCTTCTGGGAAGCATGATAAACGAGTTAGGATTTCACTATCGTTATGTAGATGATACATTCTTGATTGTGAATAACGAGAACGATTAGACACTGGGTAAATTTAACAGGGTCTATCCAGCGATAATCTTCACCATTGAGAGAGAAAGCGATGACAGCATCACCTTTTTAGATGTTCGATTGACAAAGAAGGTGGATGGAATTGTAAAAAGAAGTGTCTATTGGAAACCAACGTTAACAGGTCAATCCAACCATCTCTTAAGTCAAATGTTTAGTCCATCAAGCAAGACTTATCTGTTCAGATGATACTTTTGATGAAGAACTTCAAATTATCCATGATCTACTCCATAGTAATGGATATCCAAAAAAGTTTTTATCTAAAAATATGGACACATCCAATATAAAAACCAGAGTACCAACAGTTTCCAAGACACTGCTGTTCCTATGACTACGATTCCGAGGTGACATCATCGGGGAAATTATGACACAGCGCCTAAGAAATCCCATAAGAAGATCATTTAATGCAGCACAAATATGTTGTGTATTCTACAGTTGGCCGATGATGACCATGCAAATCAAAGACAGACTACCTGACTTCTCCTCTTCTATGTACATTTACCAGTTCAACTGCTCCTGTGGAGCTAGTTACATTGGACGTCGTAGAATTGCCGAACATCATCCTTCCTGGCCAAGTAAACGGAAAAGCAAATCGAAAAAAAGTTCAATACTCTCTCTCATCTGATTGATACTGGTCACCGAGTTGATATTCATGACGCCTTTACAGTTATTTATCATATTCCTTTTAATCTCATCCATGCTCTACGAGTTCATGTTTTACATACACCAGAAGCCATCTGAATCCACTTAGACAAGCTAAGTCTGTGTGTGTGTGTGTTCAGAAGAAATCCGTACAGATTGTTTCTTTGCCATGGCCATCTGCATAGCTTAGCTATTCAAACAAAACCCTTCCTTACATTCATCCCACAAAGGATTATAACTAACACTTTAATATCTCTATTATTACTTACAATTTTAGCCATCTTGTTCTCCCCCTGCTTCCTCTAGTTACCGTCAACAATTGACCACTTGATGTAACAATTCATTTTTTGATCCTTTTCGCGTTAGTTACTATCATACAAAATATCAATTATGTAACAACCTGTTTGACATTTCACAAACATTTTCCACTATAATTGATGTATACTTTATTTATTTGTTTTAATTACCTGATCAATTGTAAATTCCCTTGATACTTTGAGATTCATAATCTGTTATTAAATAACTCTTCCACTAGATTGGTATATATATGTGAATTTTATCTATGTGTATTCAAAACAACCACTATCCTAAAGCCTACTGGAAATCTCTACGTCGTAAAAGAGTTCGACCAAACGGAAGGACACTTAAATGATACACTGTTAACCAGATTGATTCTCTGAAATCATGTACAACAGAGTTGTTGAAAAACGCTGCAAAAATGTTTCTTCGGTCGCATTATTTGTTTTTACTAAATGTCTAAATGGTAATGAATTCACTCTATCATGCCGTCAAATTCATTGGTACATCATCCAATCCTTTTTTATCAGCCGAAAATTAAGTGTACCTAGACAATGTTGGTATGATAATTGTAATTTCCCGTTACTTTACAAGGGGTCGAATAGCTCAACCTATCGTACCACAGTGGCTATAATGTTTGAAGCGAAGGGTACTGGGTTCAAACTTCAGTGCGAGCAACATCACTCACTGAGGTGGAGGTACATCTAGCTGGTGAATCCTAAATCGGAAAAAATACGCGTCCTGGACTCCTCTGCTAGTTGCCAAGATCAATACAGCTAGACAATAATGAGATAGTTAATCGGTAGTCACGTATAACTTTTTGGCTTTGACTATAAGCAATACTTATCATGTAAGCGCCAAAAAAACTAGCACAAGTTGAGGGTCAACAAAACAAATAACAAGCATTAATATACTACAAAACATCAAATAGTTAACATTTAACCTGCAAATCATCTGATGATAACTGCTGAAACAAATGAGTAAGAACATGATCTTAAGTACATTTGACTTCACAAAGTTCGATCTATTCCTTGGAGGTCATTTGGTTGATTTGAAGTATCCAAACGACATACTCTTGCTAGGTGAAGATGCTGGTAAAATCTAAGGTCTTCTGAATGCGTTGAGTAGAAATCTGAGTATATCTGGCATGCATCTCACTGGTACCAGTCAAATTCAAGATGATTCTCCAGGGCTGGTTTGCAACTATTCTGAGCTTAAGGATATGGAAGTGAAGCGGTAGGATTTTTCGACCACTTCACTAACTTGAGCAGCTGCATCACTTCTAATGAGCTGGTCGCTGATGAAATCTCAGCTCAGATACAGAAGGCCCGCTTAGCATTTCCCAACCTGCATCATCTATAGCGCTGGGAGCATATCCAACTACCTGCTTAGGGACGATTAAATTGCGCTGCAGCCCCTACTACCTTGTTATACGGTTAAGGTATGGCGGTTACAGGTTTTGATCATAGGTGTCTTTGTAGCATTTCTCAAGAATGGTGGGATTACCATGTGAGCAATGTTGAGGTCAGGTGAAGAGTTCTAGGTAAGGAAGGCAAGCTAGTCAATGAGGTTGTGAACCTTCATCATCATCATCAATATCAACATAATACCAGGCATTACTGCACAACAGTTCAACTTGCCACGCCTCATATCACTACATCAAGTAAAAAGGTAGTGAGGTGCGAGAATAAAACAAGAAAATTCAGTCAAAAGATATATAAGGTACCAAAAGAGAGAAACGAAGAATGAGGAAATGGTGAGATTCGGTGCAGCGTCGTTAAGATGAGGATAATGTATGTATACATCTGCACCACTGACATCAGTTCCCAGCCATATCGCCTACAGTCTCCAACCACTGGTTCCTCTTGTCCAGCGAACCCCAACCGACTAGTCTGAATCGCCTCATATAGCTCAAACCAACAGTCAAACACTTCATACACTGGTGCCATGTTTTAGTCTTACCATCTAGGGCTTTTTTCCACCCTGGATCCACCTCAGCCAACATTGTGTGACGAGGCAACCGGTGACTAGGCATAGGTAGTACGTGTCCCAACCAGCCATCTCAGTCGATGAAGGTTCACAACCTCGTCAACTGATTCACCTCTACTCCCTAAAACTCTACATCTGACTTCTGAGTTACTCATCTGGTGGCACCACGGAATACGGCCTATACTACGAAGGCAACAGTGGTCAAACACCTGAAGCCTTCTCATGTCTTCCACCTTCAATGGCCATGTTTCACAGTCACATAGTAGAACAGATGGGACTGCTGTGCAGTACACGCGACCGTTGATTGACAAACGGACATCACGGCGGCGCCATTGGTGACGTAAATTGGCAAGAGGCAGTCAAGTCTTTTGTATCCGTGCAGAGATTTTAACGGCCACTGAGCCACCAGGGCTGATCCTACTTCCCAGGTAAGTGAAGTGGTCGACACACTCAACAACCTTCATAAACTGAGATGGATTGAATATGTGCTGCGCATTACGAGCCACTGTCTGTCTAGACACGCAGTGCTGAAGGAAGTTGGAGTAGGTTTGAAGGAAGCTAAGAGTGGCCAAAGTAAGACATTATACTAATCCCATGAGTTAGCCAGTATGCAATAACTATGACAATGGTGGCATTACCTTTTTGATTATAAGCCAGTCAATCACCTTCCGTCAACTGACTTCACAGGAATTAATGTAATCACAGGAGAATAGATTTAGGATATCCAGATGACATAGTCTTGTTAGGTGAATGTTGTGACAAGATGTAAAGTCTACTGGACACGTTGAGTAGCAAGTTGAGGATGTTCGGAATGCGTTTCTCACCACCTAAATGTAAATTATTGCTCCAGCACTAATCTTCAGTGATGCTCTGTCATTTAGAAATAGAAAGCAAATTGACTAGTTTACTTACCTGAGAAGTTGGATTAGCCCTGGTTTTATGTATATTGACTGATGAAAACCTTGGCACAGATATCTAAGACTCGAATGGCTTTCGACAACTTACGTCACGCTATATCGTCACTGTGATATCCTACTGTCTACTAAAGGTCGAGTGTACTGAGCTGTAGTTAACTCTGTTTTACCGTATAGTTGTAAAACATGGTCACTAGAGGTAGAAGACATGAGAAGGTTTCAGTTATTTGAGGACAGCTGCCTACGTAGTATAGGCCATGTGTCATCACATGAGTAACGAACGCAGAAGTCAAGTATAGAGTATTAGGACGAAGACGAAAGTTAGTTGGTGAGGTTGTGAAAGTTCAAACCGGAAAAAGGTTGAGGATGGTTTGACTAAAACATGGCATCAATGCATCAAGTCCTTGACTGTTGGCCTGACCTATGTAGAGAAATCCAGATCAACCAGTTGGAGTCTACGTGGCAAAAAAAACCTAATGGTTGGAGACTCTAACTAACATGAATGAGAATCGATGTCAATGGTGCAAATGTACCCTCATATTATCTTAGTCGTTATACTGAATCCAGGATTTGCTTTTTACTGCTTGTGACCGATTTTTCATTCTTTCTTCATCTTTTATCTGATTACTTTCTCTTGTACTTGATATACTATTTTATAAGGTCTAACAACCTTTTAAATGAGAGAAAAAAATAATCAACACACATATATACTTACTCTCTGCCAATAACAGGTTTACTAGTTAATTTATTAGTAAGATAATCAGTTCCGTAGAAATTTAATCCAACTAAAATTTGTTGACGTTGTTTCAATTGATTTGTAGATGTCTGAGGAATTAAGCGTTCTATACACTCTTCTACCCAATTTAATGGGCTATTTGGACCCAGTCTATTGTAATTTTTCAATAACAAAAAATTAATAATAATTGGTAATTACAGATTATAAAGAAATTACATTTATACGTAATACAATTTCAGACAATTAAAAATTCCCATGATCATTAGGTGATAAAAAGGCATAAGCTGTGAAAGAGTTGGAATCTAAATGTCAAAAGTAATAACAATAATAATAATAATAATAGTAATGAGCAAGTCATTCATTAGGAGCAGATTTCGAACCTACTATTTGAATATCATCCGTTAACCCTTCTTTTCATTGATGTAAGTTTAAAATTTGAGCACTATAGTGAAGTGTAATTTCATATTTCATTGGTCGTTTTAATACACAATATAATGATATAGTATTATTTAGTGGATGACGTTTCAAGCGCAGTTTCTTGCTCATATTTTCATATGAAGATATGGGAACATTATCTAGGAAAAATAATACTGTATCACTTTATTGTATATCAAATAGACTAATCTAATATATAACCTTTTGTTATCTTTAGAAATTCATTCATATCATTAGCCTACACTCAAGCCTCAAAATCAATATTTCTATGCCATGGCATCATACTATTATTATTATTATTTGTCCCTTGGGTTCCTAGTGGAACATAGGGCTTCAGTAGCACATCTCAATTCCACTCTGTTCTCTGCAAACTTTTCAGCCTGGTTCCACAACAGCCCACAAGCTCTCATTTCTTCCTCACACCATCTCCTCCATGTCACTCTCGCCTCGGATGCCCAACTCATCGTTTACCATCTGGGTTCCGCTCGAGCAACTGGCCTGGCGCGTGATGTCCTCAGTCGGCCTTCTCAGTGTATGCCCAATCCATCTCCACTTTCCTCTGCATATTCGTTGAGCGATAGGTTCTTGGTTGGTTCGTTGACAGCCAGAGTTCCTTTTTGCTTATTCTTTCTGGATATCTGAGCTTCAGTAACGAGTGTAGGTATCATACTACGCCACGATCATATTGAACACATACGAAACCCAACAGTACTGATATATACTTGCTATTTACTGCAGGATATTAGTGTGAAAAATACTTCACTTTCATTCTATAAAACTACTTGTCAGAATGCTGCATTAATCTTTCTATATCATTCCAACAATTCAAAGCCTCTTTGAACAACTACACATTCGTTTTCCATATGACTAGTCACTTTAGAACGGTAAGATTCCATACTTCTACTATTATGCTTAAGCTTTGCATGAAAAACAGATTTACATATCGGTACGTGTATGATTCGATCAAATCTTCACAAATAAATAATAATCCAGCAGCGTAGGCAATCTCCAGCCGATGGTAATATGCCGATGAAAAATTCCGTCTACGCTGAGATATAGTTTTTGCTTATACGTAATACAATTTCAGACAATTAAAAATTTCAAAAACCCTTGATGATGGAAGTGAAATAAAAAATCTGGTCAGCAGCCGGATCTCGTAGCTTAGTTGGTAGAGCATCGAGTCGGTAACCTGGTGGTGGCTGGTTTGAATCCGGCCACGGTGCAAATTTTCATCAGATTCATCAGATTCTACAGTTATCAAATCAATTTCGATAACGTTATTAGAAGACGAAGATTATCTTGACAATGTGTGTGATATATTTGCATTTCGAACAATCTGATCACATATTTGTAGATATTGGTTAGTTGGAGGTAATCAGCAGGAAGCTTCGTGGTTGTTGGCACTTGTCAGTAAGGCGTATCTGTCATTTCAACGAAACTGATATCCTATCTGAGATTCGAATCGGCGTCAACCAGTGTTTTAATCAGCGACGTTACCGCTGAGCTATTAAGGATGCGATTAACCTTCGTGACAAATTAATGCATGTAACCCAGTCCTACAGGAGGTCCATGCAGATCTTCCAAGAGAGAATTTCCTACGATGCCGAGTAAGTTTACTTGTTATCAACTTCTGGTGGAGTTATTGAATAAGTTGTTAGTGTAGTAAAGAATCCGAATTCATCGGATAGAAACAAGTGTTATTGGAATTTCCTGTTTTGTTGGTTGAAGTAATTGGACACTAATCCACTATCAAGTTTTTATTGGTACAGTAAATGCTTGAAGGTCATGTTTATCCCTTCACATTTTGAGTACAATATGATCAATAGATATTGTATTGTTGTGATGTTCTCTAAGTTAAATAATCTGGTAGTATGCATCCCACTTTCAAACTACGTAGTGTCTTTTATTATATTTATGAATGAAGGAACTGAAAAACTTGAAGTACCTGATGACTGAGTATGTATGACGCATATCTGAATTATATCGGGTAATACACTCCTTCTACAACACAGTGATGCAACTGATGTGCAATCCTCACTTGAAAACCTACACCTTATTCCATTATTGCTTCATTATGAGATGGAAAAACATTGAAAACAAAATGATTATTTAAATATATAAATTTCATCTTTATCCTAGGTGATGATTAAAGGTGAAATGAAAATATGAGTCGCGGTTGTATTCGAACCAGTGACCACCGAGGTTTCCGGCCTGATGCCCTATCAACTGAGCCAAAAGGTCACTTGATATAGCATCAGGCCGAAAGCCCGATGGTCGCTGGTTCGAATCCGGCTGCTGTCCAAATTTTTATTTCATCTTCAATCATTACCCAGTATCAGTACTAGTCTAACCAAACCACAGTTGCTATCTCAGATGGTAGTCAGAATGATAAATTTAGTCTTTGTCATATAAGCGAAAATAGAAATCTAGCCTGTAACCAATTAAAGGTGTAATAAATACACTGATAAATACAGAGGCAGGAGAAAAGAGCTACATTCGCTTGAAGTCAATACGAACACACACACACACACACAAATGTTATCAGAATATACACTCACCTAGGTGATGAATAATCGTAGGTCATTAGACTAAAATAATCCACATAATCAGATAACTGATTGAAATTCTCTTGATTAAATCTTCCTTCAATACCACTGAAAATGATATTAGATTATATTGATTTGATAGATTATAAAAGAGAAAGAAAATGAAAGTTTTACTCATGATAAACAGCTGGTGGGATAACTAATACAAGCAATTTGTTGTCTGATGTATGTAAACTGTCAGCAAGTTGAATAATGAAGTTGGTAAGCATTTTCATTTCTAAACCAGAGAATTGTACCCAAATTTCAATAACTGCACCATCAAAATTATATTTCTAGACAAAAGAAATAAATAAAAATAAACATATAATAAGTAGAGTAATGAAGAAAATGCTTGAGAAGTTTCAGAAATAAGCACATGAATCAATGTATAAGTATCAGATTGGTTGAAAAGATGAAAAAGCAACAAGATATTCGAAACTAGGAAAGTCTAGAAATAGCCAAGGCCATTGTCATCATCTATTATAAACCTTGTATCGTATATATATATATATATTTTTCGACGTTGCCGTTGTTTGTCTAAAGGCCTTTCTCTATTACGGAGGAATTCAGTGACCTATTTCACAATGGAATCTGAAGGGTGTTCTGTACAAGCATCCGGACACATAGATATATAACTCAATCTATATCAAGTAATCACTGTAAACATATAAAAGTCTCTACTAAAAGAAAAACCCTATTGATACTACCATAGATGAATGATTAAAAAGAAAATGAAATAAGTTTTGAGAAATTGTTTACCACAAATTAGGTAAAATTTGTAAAAATGCACAGTCAGCTACATTTTATTATCATCAGTTCATTCAATAAATTTTCAGTTAAATTAAACGCAATTTGATTTGTTGAGCTATACTTGTTTAAGTGTACCACTGAACAATAAGCAGTCTAAAACCATAAGTGATAATGATAGCTGATTAATGAGGCTTGGAAACAAGAAGACACATTATCGAATACAAATATTAAGGGGAAGAAGACTATACATTACGACGTTAAAAAAAGAGAATGCTTACTTTGGTAACTAATGTATTTTTCACTACTACTGTAGTGGGCGTTGCTGATAACAATGGATATAAGTAGTATGTGTTGAGAGGGTGGCAGGAATCATAGGGAATTATCAGCAATGGGTAAGGATTCTGCCAAGAACAACGCAATGGATAACGCAGACGTATTATAGTGGATGCTGCTGATAAGAATATATGAAGAGCAAATCAAGAGAGAAACAGGAGAGGAAGTGAAGCACATTTTGCAAATGACGGGTTTAGTGCAAGGTGTACCATATGAAACCACTACCGTTCCGATGATTGACATCAGAAATTCTTCCCGTCGTATCTGTCTTCTGTCTCTTCACTACTCTGTTAATCACTTTGGATGGGAAACAGGGATTTAGGTTTTCGAACTCGAGTTGACAACACAACTGAAATCAACAGACAGAGACCCTGAAGAATTTAGTCTTGGATGTGTGGAAGTAACGCAGATACACTTTCTAAAACTTGAGATTTTTACACTTCCATAGAATTTATACGATCTTCACGTTTCTATTGAAACTTTTTCATCTTTTACCCTGGCTATTTCGATATGGAAATCTAGAATTTGAACTCATTCAGAATATACTGTCAAATTCTATGCTGTTTTCCACCTGCTTTATCACAGTACTAGTAGTTAAAGGGAATTTGTATCATAAGGGCATAACTACAGGTCTTGGGGACCCCAACCAGGTAATTTACATCTCCCAATACAGCTTAAACCAACAGTCAGAGACTTCATTGACTGGTGCCAGGTGTAGGTATGGTCATCCTGAACCCTCTTGTAACCTAATCCAGCTTCCTTTAGCATGTCGAGATAGGCGGTAGCCCGCTATGCGGAACACATATCTATGTCATCTCAGTCAACGAAGCTTTATAATCTCATCAATCAACTTACCTTGCACCCTTCACCTGACCTCAACATTACTCACAAAGTGATTTCACTAAACGTGAAGTGTTACAAAGACACCAATAATCCATCTACAGATCCATCTATCCAGATCAACCTAGGACCAGGCATTACTGCGTAACGGTCCAACTTGCCACACATCATATCACTACATCAAGTAAAAAGGCAGTAAGGTGCAACATGAAGATAAGAGAATGCAGTCAGAAAAGAGAGGAAAGAAGGATGAGAAAATGGTGAGACTTGGTGCAGCATCGTTAAGATGAGGATAATGTATGTATACATCTGCGCCACTGACATCGGTTCCCAGCCATATCGCCTAGAGTCTCCAACCACTGGTTCCTCTTGTCCCACGGACCCCAACCATTTAGTCTGCATCGCCCAAACTGGCTCAAACCAACTGTCAGAGACTTCATGCATTGGTGCCAATCCATCTAGAGGTTTAAGCAACTAGGCAATACCATTAGTCCTCACACAATAAGGTGTGATATATTATCCATAAGATTGCTTAGTGGACTTTAATTATACATACATTTAAAAGGCTTGGATTAGTGTAAACAATCTTCTCTTACAATTGTATTAAGAAATACAGACAGCACATCACTACTATAATGTATACATGAACACGAAATCAGCATAGCTCCTTAGTATCGAAGTCTTAGAAGGATAGTAGCATCTAATTGAAATTTTCATGCAACTAGTATATGTGATAAACATGATATATCTCACCTTCCTATTTTCACATCTTCATATCATTGGAATCTAATTTTGTGTGAAGAATTTTCCAATTCCTCATGTATTCAGACTCAGAAATTTAACTGAATAGTAACATAACATATAACATATATAGGAAACTTCATTTTTAACCAAAGGAGAGAAGAATCACGTAATAAGAAGTGTCGACTTGTATTGGTAAATTTCCCAGAAATATGATTATAGAAAAAAAACAAGACATGGTTGCAGTGAAGAAAATGTTTTCTTTTCGATGAAATCATTTACTACTCAGCTGTACATTCATGAATATATGTTACAGTGGGCAGAATGTCTCAGAATTATTTCTGGTTAAGGGGTAAAATATATTGAATAACTAAAAGAAGTTAATTAATACACGTTTCGGTTTATAATGGGAAAAAAAGACAATGGATTATGAAAATACATGTATAGGATGAATCTATGATGGGCATGGTAAAGACCAAGGTTAGACAGATAAAGCTGGTTTGAACTTCAGGATGGCTAGTACTTTAGCTATAAACAACTGGTTTGATCGAACCGTGTAGAGGATTTTGAATGGGCTTTCAAAAGGAGCTAAGTGGCCTGAGTTCAAGAGGTGTTCTGTTCTCCCTTTGCCGGGTCAGGCTGGGTAGTGTTCGTGGCCAGGTTTTAAAAACGGACGCATGGTACAGCTGATGTACTCAGCTTCATAAGAGCAAGTAAACTGGTATACAAACATTGATATGACCCAATACGTCGGCTTGTCTTTCACACACTGACCAAAACGTTTCTTGCAGGAAAAAATAATTCGAAGGTTGGTGGCGAAGTATGTTCTATCTAAGGATTTCGACAGTTGTTTCGCGACGGTGTCTGCAACAATATCATTTGTCAATTCAAGTTTCAACAAAAGAATCTTTTTCGGCGTCAAATACGTTCGTTCAGTTAAGTTCTTTGACACTGTGTTCCTATCTATGAATCTGAACGGCATACAGTTAGAGTTCGTCGAGGTATTTGAAGTTCTGCGTCAATAGTGTCCTCAGTACATATTTTTTCTGATCCTTAAGGAAAGTGAATGAGGGACTGAACTTTGAAAATTAATAAACTGTTCATTGCACATAGGGTTTCTGTAGATCAATCTACGAAGTGAATTATCGCCTTTTCTTTGAAGTAGAACGTCAAGAAAATAGAATATTGAGTTTGATTCTGATTCTAAAGTGAAATATGATTGTATCTCAGTACAGCTTTGAAGAGTTTGGTTTCACTATATAATACTGATAGTCTTTACCTCTCAGTATTACATACAACAAAGGCAAATGTTTACATCCTTAATGGACAATATAGCAGCTTTTCTGAAACATTAAATTGTCTCCAATAATGTTGGCTAAAGGTTTATATGAAATAAATTGTATGAATGTACATTGAGATAAGTGAATATGAATGTATTCCAGCAAAACTGAATTATATGAAAAAGATTGTACAACTATCCTAATAATAAAATTCATGATGCCTACACTTTAAACACTTTTAGGTTACATCTTTTCCAAAATATCGAAATTTTACTAAATCCTATTGTTTTCAATGTTTCTGATATAAATTCGCTTTGGCTAGAACTACAATCATGTGAGGATAACTTACTGGTATAAATGTGATCATAATGAACTGAGACATCAATATGAAACAAATTTTAATCATATCCACTGACGACAATGGGATAGATAAATAAACCTTCCAAGAAAAGTAAACTAGTTGAACAATTAATGTTATCAAAGGATTAAAGAAAGAACTTCTTCTAAGATGTACGTTTAACGTTCACTTTGGATTTAATAACAAAATCTAGAGATCAATTGATGGTATACCAATGAGATTACCTTTTAGACCTTTACATGCTGACTGTTTCATGATTAGCCTTGAAAATAGCACCTCGCTCCCAACAATTGGTCAACTTCATGTATACAGAAAGTAAATAAACGATACATTCATTGTTTATGATGACAAGCTGAATCTAACATGCCTCTTTCAAAATTTCAAACCTACACTAGATGCTAAATCAAACCCAACGTTTCGTTTCCTTACTATCAACCTTTAAAAGAGTCATGATAACCTATTGAAAGATTTATCTATGGAAAGCCTAATTAGGACGGGTAACTGACCAACTTTCAAAGTTGGTTGCCTTAAGTAGGAAGAGGAATCTTGTGTACTCACTCTCCTCAAAATTAGGGAAAATATGCAGCGATAATAAACTTGTTTTCAAGAATTAGAAACTCTCAGAGATTCACTGCTAGAGAATCATACCCATCCAGAAAAAAAGGCCATAGAACAGATTTAGACAGCTCTGAAGAAAATATTTTAAATGAACCCCAGATTCAAAGATGATACTTGCACAGACATCCTGCGTTAACATTTGTCAAAGTCCCTAAGTAGAACATTCCATGCTGCGAACTTCTGTGTTATGTTCTCATGTCAACAGCTGATTCATCAGTGTGAAAGATAAGTTGGGCCACTAGGTCCTGTGGGAATGAATACTTCCCCCGTACTACACACTCGTTCAAAAAACGAGCTAGCTAACGTTACCCAGCCTGGTTGCTGCAGCGTGACTACAAAACCATCCTCCAGCTCCATCGCTGAACAGGTCACAAACTCTAGACAACTGGCTCCTCTCGAAGTCTAGTTTAAAGTTCGATCAGAACATTCAAAACGGGTGTAGACTAAACACTTATATTTGAACTCAAAGCTTCAAACCTATATTGTGAATTCAAAATAAAGCATGTACAAACACTCTTTTTACCATGACCTTGATTAAATCCTCAGCACCTCTGCTTATATTTTTATTTACCTATATAGTTACTGACCTCGCCTAGTTAACTAGTTACTAGCCGGTCCCAAGCCCGGAAAAAGAGAGAAGGTTCGGCATACAGGTAGCAACCACACCCTGTAAAACCAATTCAATCGCTGAAAAAAATTCAAAGCACAGGAAAAAAGTAAATTTATTCCTCGCTGGAATCGGGGAGACGAAATGATGCCAGTTATGAAAGTCTTCGGGAAGCCCATTGACCGATGTGCCTTCGCTCGATGAAAGCAAAAGTAAACATAGGGAGATGGGATGTCCGAACAACGTTTGAACCTAGCAAGGTTGCGAAAAAAACGAGAATGGAGAAGTATTTGCAGACTTCTGTGCATTTAGTGATTTGGTGGTTGGAGGCACTGTGCACAAACACAAGGATATTCAAAAAGCGAATGATACGGATTTAATTTCACCACATGGACACACTACACACTACAAATCAGATTGACTTCATCTCAACGTGAAGAAAGTGGAGACACAGCCAGGCTACTGGACACAAAATCAGATGGAGAAGGGGAGCAGATGAAGGTAGGTTCACACCACTCACTACCTAGTGCTAAGAATGTACCTTGAAAATCAAGTTGAAAGCCTTCAAAGGAGTTGGTGTTAGGCCACAGTTCAAGTTGAACACCGACCGAGAACAGAAACTGAATTGAAGGACGAAACTACAAAGGACATCTTCACGTCAGTCAGTCAGTCGGTCAGTCATCAGGACAAAATGGGGGATATTGAGCGGTGTCTGTGGAGAAACCTGCATGGAAGAAGACTGGAACTCTTTGAGAGAGATGTGGAGAGAAAGCTACATAACCGTGTTAGGAAGGAAGAAGAAACCAGACAAGACAAGACAAGACAAGACAGGATCTCCACATGGAAGCTGATCGAGCGAGAAGGAACAGGAAGATGGTGATGGTTAGGCAGAAGATGAACCGGTGCAGTGCGGGGATGAACAACGAAAAGAGGAAGTGAACACAACCTATAGAACACTACACTGGACAAGGTGAAGAGGAGTGCGCGCAAAGACAAAAGACACTTTCACGACATGCTTGGAAGTGAAGCAGAACAGGCTGCGGGTAGTAGGATATATACCTGAAAAAACTATATCAAGTAACCAGGTTACCATCTGGGATGGAAGAGATCAACGCAGATGAAACCAGAGAAAGATAGTGAAGGGAAACTAGTTACAGAAGGTAGAGGAGAAACAAAGGAAACACTGAGCTGACCACTTCTAAAAACTCTTCAATCCACCACCACCACTGCCACCACCTGCAACTCGTCCAGAAATATCACCAGCAGCCCAGCCACAAAATTACCAGTGGACACAGGCCCTCCGACAAAAGCAGAAGTGAAGCTCTGAACGCCACGCCATAAAGTTTCTGGAAACTGGGGAAACAGCATGATCAGATGGAATTCCTCCGGAAGCAGTGAAAATAGACATAGAGACAACAGTGGATATGCTCACACCACTATTGCAGAAGGTTTGGAAGCCAGAAAGTATGTCTACCCACTGACTAGGAGAAGGGGTACCCTGTCAAACTCCCAAAGAAGGAGACTTTAGTCTTTGCAAGAACTGGAGCGGAATCATGCTCCACACCTGTCCACTCCAAGCTAAATATTAAGCCGCATCATACTGAAGAGACTAAATAATGCTCTGCATTCAAATGGATTAGGACCGGAACAGACTGGCTAGCTGGCTGGCTTGAGGAAGAACAAATCATGTGCGCATCAAAGTGCAACGTTACGCCACGCATCATCATAGAACAGGGCATAGAATGGTAGTCAACTCAACTCTACATCAACTTCATCGATTTTGAAAAGGCATTCGACAACGTCGACCGACAAGTGATTTGGCAGGCAACTGCTTCAACACTGTGGAGTAGCACAAACCTCCATCAACCTCATTCATCAGCTATATGAAGACGCCACATGCCGAGTGATTCACAATGGAAAGCTCAGTGACGCCTTCGAGGTGGGGACAGAAGGAAGACAAGGCTGTCACCTAATATCACCGATCATCTTCCTGATTATGGTCGACTAGATCATGCAGCAAACCGTGAGGAGCTGTGGAAAGATGAGCATACGCTGGCCGGACCGATGAAATAGACCTAGGAGATTTGGATTCCGCCAACGATGATGATTTATGTCTACTGTCCAATGTCGCACGAACTCAAGAATCTACAGGTAAAAGTCAACAAGTTGACAGAAGAGGCGAGGCAGAGAAGGAAGATGGGACTTCTTTCAGGTGAGCGTAGAGAAGACAGAGGTGATGAGATGCCCAACCAACAACAGCATCAACAACAAGGGTCACCAATCACCAGTAACGGGAGAATCCTAAAGGAAGTAATCTCTTCCACCTACCTACCCAACTAGGCAGCATCGTTCCAACTACAGGTGGTGGCACAGATGAGGACGTCAAAGCCAGGATCAGGAAGGCAGCAGGACAGGCCTTTGTTAACCTGAAATAATCAGTGTGGAGATCTACTCCACTGCATTTCACCCAACACGAAGTGTGAACAAGATCCGGATTTTCAACACTAATTCATTCAGTCAAGTAAGTGAGTGCTTCTATGTGATGGTTGAGAGACTTGGTGCGTTAGGAAAAGCATTTCCAACAGATTACAGACATCACGGATGAACAGCTGCCACCTACACTAACTCGGTACTGAAGATCAGATGAGCAGAAAGAATAAGCAACAATGAATTCACTCCAGCTGGCAAGGAACCAACCGGCTAAGAACCTATCGTTCAACAAATATGCAGAAGAAAGTGGAGATGGATTGGGCAGGCACTGAGAAGGCTGACTGGGGACATCACACACCAAGCCAGGCCCTCCAGTGGAGGCCAAATGGGGAACGACGAGTTGGGCGTCCCAGGTGAGAGTGACATGAGGGAGATGGTGTGAGGAAGAAATGGAAGGGTGTGGGGAATCGTGGAGCCAGGTTGAGAAGACTGGAGAGAAGAGAGTGGAGTGGTGACGTGCTACTGAAGCCGTATGTTCGACTAAGAACCCAAGGGACAAACAATATAATAATAATAATAATAATAATAATAATAATAATAACAATAATAATAATAATGATAATGATAATAATAATAATAAATGTGTTTTACTGCCTATTTGTTTTTTTCTACCAGATACTAAATATCACGTTTCAATGCATTTTATAAAAGCCATTGAGATTATGCCTTGTGTTACGCAACGTCTTCTTATTCCCTACATACACCTTTAGAGTAGTTTTGACCGTTGACCAGAAATTTGTCTGGAACATTCTACCAGTCCACCAATATATTTGAGAATATACAGCCGTGTGAGTCGTCGAAAAGATAATTATCTTCGCTATGACCTCAATTTTGTTTTTTAGTAACCAAATAAGGATTTTTCCTTATTAACTACGGAATAGTTAGTTAACTAATAAAGACGTAGTTGGCTCCCACTAAAAGAACACAGAACACTCATGTGTGGGCTATGAAATGATTTGTCTCTTCGTCACATTTAAAATGTTTGAATCTCCTTGCCATATAGCTGGTGAGTATTTCATTAAACTAGTGAGAACTGTACGGCGGTCAGTTTCTATGACACACAAATTTATCAGTGATGATATAAAACGTGTCATCACCTAACCCTAAACGGTTCCACACTAGTGTTGTCTCGAAAGAAACCATTCGTTTTCCGTTCAAATAAATAGATGAAAATAAACTGGAAATTACAATACCAGCAAACCATCTAAAAGCATTGTTAAGGAAATATAAATTCAACGAACATTTGTTTTAAAGAATATAGGAGGCTGTGTATTCGTTCAATATGTTACTGACAGACTACTTGATTCGCTAATAGTACAAACAATCACCTTTAATTAATAGTCAGCCATTTTCAACCTTATAAGAAGCAAGTTATGGTAATTTGAATCATAATTAGGCGCTTGTTAACCTATATTTTAATTAATTTTACATTCAAAAATGAGTAGAAACATCAATAGATACATGTTAAATCCGCTAAATGACTGCAAACTAAGCAACCACAGCTGTCTAAAGTACTATGGGTCGCAGCTATTGTATGAGGGATAATGATACATCATTTGAGTGCCTAATCTTTAGCACATGGAATGGAATTCCAATATGTAACCGTCTTGTTGAAAGCCAAATACTCTGGTCAATAAAGCGTGGTCCCATTTTAAAGAATTTTGAATTGACGCAACTAGGATTTGTATCTCTACTGGAAAAGTAAACCATGAGTTCATGCATTTGTTTATCAGTTATTTGGTTTGAATAGTCATGTAAAATTATTGAACCTGGCATAACAAGTACGGCTGATGGTCAAAAACATGACTATATACGTAGTTATTCCAGATATACGTTGAAGTGAATGTGAATGTACCACTATCTGACTGAATTGCTTAGACTAATGAACCATATCTCTACACTTCTGTATAATGAATTCTCTAGTGAATGTAGAACTATTAAACACAAAAGAATTCGGTACATGTCGTATTAGACTCGACAGTATACGTCACTAGAAATTAAACTTTATGCATAACTTTCATGTGTAAATATGACAAACAAATAATAAGTAGAAACTAACCTTTAATACATTTATTATATTTCGAATGCATTTGTTGACCTTGGAAATATCTGTTAAAGTTGCAATGTAATCTTTATTCTCCCATGGACTGAATGAAAATCGAGGAACTATCTTTATGTTAGGATTCATCGCATGAATTTCAGTCATCCACACTATGAAATGGTAGTTTAATAAAACCAACAATCAAACCAGTATTAATTTCAGGGATCCCAGTAACTGTATATGCTTTCTTTTCTCCTTGAACTTCAAACCATACAGGTGCAATAAGGTTAAACTTAGCACTGAATATTTTCGCCACTTCATATCCTAATATATTCCACTGAGAATCCATAAGTTAACAAATACAGTGTACTATATACTTACAGGTGTCACGTATGCCAAAACAGTTGCGTTTAAATTTTTCTGGGAAACAGTATATTTATTATAAGAAGAATGGGATTTCAGAAATATTTCTGTATCAATATGTTCTGTTGGAACACCATAAATCTAAGAGATATTAAAAATAGAAGTTACACACATACCAATTCGTCAGATTCACTTCCAGAAACCATGCAATCACTTAGTATCAATACAAACAAAAGTACTCCAGTATTTATGGATAAAAGTCCAAGCGGATTACGTTCCAATATCAACATATTTCCTAAAATAATTATTTGGAAAAAATTTATGAAATCTAAAAGTTATTACAGGATAATCGGTTGGAGATTTCCAGCAGATTTGTAAACTAATTACAACATAAGTGAATATCATCTACAGAAAAAACACTGAAAAATCAGGGGATATCGTATAGCTGACAAGTTTAACCTCTACAAGTTAGATAACAGGAACACACCGCTTGACGCTAATTTTATTAGTATGAATATTACTTAAACCTCTTTCATCCAGTTCAAAGTTCGGATAATTGAAAATTTGAAGTCTGTATACCTACCAAAACCCGTGGAACAGGTGAATTGTATTAACCAATTTTCATGTACATGTAGTCACATATGCATAAGAGGACTCATCGGTCATTGAAAATAAGGGGTACAGAACATATTCCAAAGTGGCTTCAGAAAGAAAAAACAGTTACCTGAACCGACTGATGCCAGAAACGAAAGTCTAAGCTCCCCAATAGCTAAACGTATTGTTATAATAGGGCATCAGGTGGATGTAAAAATGACATTTACGCCATTCTATAAGATCTGTTGGGGAGGTATTTTAAAGTTTGTTAGGGTATTAGTGCCATCAGGAGGTTTAACCCACCTTTCTGCGTTCAAAAACAATTTGTCATCATATTAAATCTTCCTTGGTAAATTCGGCTTTGAACCCAATGTTATTGTATTACTACTTTTTTTGTTGCATTATTGATCTTTATTGTTATTTTGATCTTCAATATAGACTTCTCATTTGACCTATAGTTATTTTAAAACCCCTTAACTGTTAGGGAGATTGATTGCAAAATTTTTGGGTATAAGTACAACATCCAAAAGGTGTAAAAGAGCGACGCGAAATTCACCCCAAGTATACAGGGAATTCTACTGTCAATGGATAAAAATTGATGAAAGTGTAAGAACCAGGTGTCGGGAGTTGTGTACCTAGCTTGAAATGAGGTATGAATTGTGATTGAAACACAATCCAGCAAATAATACTGTACCATCAATAGATGACAGATACAGGACTATATATCCAGCTTACTGTTGAGATCAGGGACCTCATTTTCAGGCTTCAATGTACTTCTCTAAGCAGATGCGACAGCTTATCATCCGAACTCCGAAGGTAGGTATAGATGTGTTTCATTCACTAGGTAAAATTTCGTATTCCGAGCAAGACAGGCACCCATGAAACATCATATAATACAAAGTTTACCGAAACATAAATCACCCCGCTTAATCAACTCCAGTATGAGAAGTCTGAAAGTTGAGTGAGAAGAAAACAGACAATAACGTGAAATATAGTTTCGGAGAGTCATCTTTTGTGTACATCTGCAAACTTCTTATTCCCATCTTAAAATTGTTTCAAAAATGAGATGATGGGAAGTTGAAGATATGACCGAGGCAAGTAATATGACTGTGTGTTTTCAATGAAATGATGAAAGAAAACATGGTACAAATTTCCTCTTGAGGTTGGTACCCGACCGATAGCTGCTACATTGACGTGGTGGTCAACCTTGCATATCACAATGACCCAACGAGCTATGCTGGTGAAACACGTTCCCTCGAGGTCCTACCATACATCAAAGATCTGTTGGATGGTGGTTAGACGAAAAGCAGTTAACGTTGTGGTGTAAATTACTACACTATGATGGGGGGTCTGAGGGCGAAGTCATACTGCTGCTGGCTAGATGGGGTATGACAGCAGTAAGGTGTTTCTCTTGGACAACCAGCAGTGCCATGCTGATGCTGCCTTTTCAGTAGAGGGGGGGAGGTTAGAAAAGGTCGGCCCCAAAAATAACACACTCCACCATGCCTCACGGTCTGCCGGGCCGGTGGTGTTGGTTCATTTGTCGTTTCCTTTCGACCACCCAGCCCCAAAAATACAAAAGTTCAAAATTATCATACTCAAATGGCTACATGTGACAGACTTCAGGCAGATTTTCGATAGGCTCTGTGGTCACACAAATCTCTTTCAGGTACCTTTAGAAGAAATAGTCTTCCATGCTGTGGGCAACTGGGAAGCGTCAACCGCCCTCACAACTCTGTCAGTATTCAAGTTTCCTCAGACTGCTATCCACCTCCCCCATCATTACCTTTTAATCTTCCTTCACGTCTCTCAGTTAATGATACTACATCATCTTCAATTTCTCCTAGTTCTGCAGTCTTCGACAACGATCTGAGTCCACAAAACAGCATCCTTGGTTCTCCGCAAACCACGCTCCAAACTACTTATTGGAGCCTTCAATGTCCGCACACTCTTCGTCAAACTGGTCAACAGGCTTCGTTGGCAAAGACTCTAGCAACTCGGGCCATGGATGTGTGGTGTGTTTGTGAGACATGCATACAGGACCTAAGTGGGGTTATTCATCTGACCTCTTTCGACCAGTCTGGTGAATCCGCAAAATTCACGCTCCGAGTTCCTGGAGATTCGATAACTAGCTCTCGGGGTCTTGCAGGTGTAAGCATAGCATTAAGCACCAGGGCAGAAAACTCACTACTAGACTGGATCCCAGTTGATAGTCGCCTCTGCGCTATCCGACTTAATGGGACAGTGAGAACTAAAAGGAATAGTGAGACCCGCCGTTGTCTCTTTGTAATTCCCGCTTACGCACCCACTGACTGCAGTTCGGATGAAATGAAGGACGAGTTCTACCGTAAACTGTCTAGCCTCTTCTCGAAAGCCAAACGTTCGGACGTGGTGGTTGTTGCGGGTGACTTCAATGCACAAGTGGGTAGACTGAGTGAGGCAGAAATGGACTTAGGTGCCACTTTTGGAGTCCCGGCTGAACGTACAGATAACGGTGACCGCCTATTACAACTATGCTCAGATAACCGCCTATTTTTAGCTATCACAAATTTCAGACATAAAGAAAGACACTATCTGACCTGGCGTCCACCGAGTTCAACTCAGAGATGGACACAGATAGACCACATTGCTATTAGTCATCGCTGGAGAGGATAGGTGGAAGACTGCCGCTCCTTCTGGAGTACGTGTTTGGATAGCAACCACGTGTTGGTCCGAGCGCTTATATGCCTACGTCTCAACGGATGTAAGAAAAATATGGGAACAAAACCACTACGAGTGCTGCTGGACAACGAAAACACCAAAGCCATGTTCAATGAATAGTTGGCTAGGCAGTTATCGGAATGAAAGACTGTCACTCATCCAGAAGAAGCTTGGTTCCACCTTCAGTATGCTGTAAAAGCAGCGCTGAAGGCTGTAGCCGACTCCAAAAGAGTGGTTAAAAAGAGTCAGTGGATATCAGCAGCTCCTCCCGAACTAATAGATGCACGTGAACGAATCCCCGCAGGCTCTGAGTACAATGGAGAGCGAGTGCAACTTAAAAGTAGATTGAGAAGTTTACGCAACGACCGCGAACAGTGGTGAGCAGCGAAGGCTAAAGAGATGGAAAAGGCGGCGGCGATTGGTAACAGTAGACAGTTATTTAGACTTATTCAGGAAACTGGGAGGGAAGGGTCAACAACAGTTAGTGAGGTCGGAGCGGAGAAGGACGGATCTGCGATTCACTCGCAGGGGAGACGACTGGAACGATGGACAGAACACTTCGAGGAGCAGTTTAACTGACCTACAGCCACCATTGCGTTGCCAGCTATCCAGTCGGATCCTGAATGGAACAATGAGATAGGCCCCACAACACCAGCAGAAGTCCAAAAGCTGTAGGTGACCAGAAACGAGGAAGGGCAGCAGGACCAGACGGACTACCTGCTGAGGTATACAAGAATGGTGGTAGGGTGCTCTTAGTCAGGTTAACGGAAGTGTTAACCAGTATATGGGAATCAAATATGATCCCCTTTTGACTGGTCTAAGTCACTGATTATTCCAGTCTTTAAGAAAGGTGAGAAGTCCTCTTGTGATAACCACAGAGGAATCAGCCTGACGAACATAGTGCCCAAGATCCTAGGTTCTATAATTCTCCGACGCCTGAGTGGAGCTCGGGAACGGCAAGTCCGAGAAAACCAGGCAGGATTTAGACCCGGGAGCCAGGTCCTGAAACACAGGCACCTTTACCGACCACCAACAATACTGTATTACTCGACGTGAAGGCGGCATTCGACTCCGTCGATCGAGAAGTCTTATGGCAATGTTTCTCATTGAAAGGCATGCCGAGTTAGTACATCACCTTATTGAAGGCTCTCTACTCGAACACTAGTGGGCGTGTTAGAGCCTATGGTGAGATATGCAGGGAGCTATGCTCATCGAGTGGTATCCGTCAAGGCTGCCCACTGTCTTCATTTTTTTCAGTTTTATCATAGACATTCTTGTGGGAATCTCCCTCTCGTCACCTGATTACACAGAGGTTGACCTAATCGCAGGAGGATTTTCGTCATACCTAGAATATGCAGATGACGTAGTCCTGTAAGGTGAAGACGCTGACAAGATGCAGAGTCTTCTGATCACTTTGAGTGTTTGGGATGCAGTTCTCACCGCCCAAATGCAAATGTTTGCTCCAGGATTGATCCTCAACGGTGCCATGGCTAACAACAGAGAGTGTTGAGGTTGAGTGTGTCAACCACTTCACTTACCTGGGAAGTAGGATCAGCCCTGGTGGCTCAGTGGCCGATGAAATCTCTGCACGGATACAAAAGACTCAACTGCCTCTTGCCAATTTACGCCACCTATGGCGCCGCCGTGATGTCCGTTTGTCAATCAACGGTCGCGTGTACTGCACAGCAGTCCCATCTGTTCTACTGTGTGACTGTGAAACATGGCCATTGAAGGTGGAAGACATGAGAAGGCTTCAAGTGTTTGACCATTGTTGCCTTCGTAGTATAGGCCGTATTCCGTGGTGCCACCAGGTGAGTAACTCAGAAGTCAGATGTAGAGTTTTAGGGAGTAGAGGTGAATCAGTTGACGAGGTTGTGAACCTTCATCGACTGAGATGGCTGGTTGGGACACGTACTACCTATGCCTAGTCACCGGTTGCCTCGTCACACAATGTTGGCTGAGGTGGATCCAGGGTGGAAAAAAGCCCTAGATGGTAAGACTAAAACATGGCACCAGTGTATGAAGTGTTTGACTGTTGGTTTGAGCTATATGAGGCGATTCAGACTAGTCGGTTGGGGTTCGCTGGACAAGAGGAACCAGTGGTTGGAGACTGTAGGCGATATGGCTGGGAACTGATGTCAGTGGTGCAGATGTATACATACATTATCCTCATCTTAACGATGCTGCACCGAATCTCACTATTTTATCGTTCTTCGTTTCTCTCTTTTGGTACCTTATATTTCTTTTGACTGAATTTTCTTGTTTTATTCTCGCACCTCACTACCTTTTTACTTGATGTAGTGATATGAGGCGTGGCAAGTTGAACTGTTGTGCAGTAATGCCTGGTATTATGTTGATATTGATGATGGCGATGACAGATGCATGAAGCGACCACTTGAAGGTTTATTTAGACCTATATCACAGTTCAGACTGTGTGATGTTCTATAGTCACATGGATGAATATCTTAATTGTAGGCACCTTTACTTCGGGGGGAAAAACAGTCGGGAACATAGATAAGTTGCTGAACACAGTTAAAAACCATACCTACTGTAAGTTTTACTTCATTATTTCCAAGCAAGAGCTAGAAGAAAATGACCATTTTCTTACTGGAGCATTTAAGGTTATTAGACAGTCGCTAAAAAACTGCAAGATTCTAAAGTGTTGCCGCAAGAAATATGCTTCTCGTTCGCTCCGTCAGAGTAAAAACGAAGCAGCGGATAATGAGGGTGAACAGCGCTGAAGTACCAAACACGGGTTTACCTGGTGAAAATGACCTAGACGAGGGTTAAAGACAGTGACTACAGACAGTTAATAAAGGAGACAGAAAATAGGTGCAGCACAGTGATCATATCAACCTTTTTGAACTTGGAACGAGAAGCTACACTGAAAAAATATATTCGGGAATAATTCTAAAAAACGAGATGCTCTATTGTAATTAACCTGTTACAAACATTTTAAAATAGGTCCAGAACTGTACAACAACAAATTCATACGCAAAACTATTAACATACATAGTGTTTCTACACCAACCAAACGTTTTACCTCAGTCTATATTTTCGCGGGGAAACTCGAGGCCTTTCCTCAAACAAGGGAAACGCAAGGCGAAATGCGGGGATTGAAAATTGCGGGGCAAACCGGGGAATTTCAGGGGGGGGGGGGAATATTGCAAAATTGCACGTTTTATACCGAGTTTTTATTACAGTCTATAACACATCCCACTGTTTTGCCTCGCGTAAATGCTGACTGCGTTTCCTGTGGGATGTCAAAGTGAACAAAATGCAGTTTGTCCAATCCATGGGTTGCACTTCAGTACTGGGTAGCAGTCCATAAAACCTCATCACGTTTATCCTAACTCTCCAAACCCCATCACTTACTTCTAAGAAAAATTAAAGACTATGGTCTTAATGCTTCAAGTTATACAGCAAAAAAATCAATAAGAAGTAGGTTATTTCAGTGCCAGTGATCGATTACGAAATCCATAGGTCTCTACCTGGTGCACAACCTCATGAACCTGATGTTAACTTCTAATTAGGGCTACAATTCCACAGTGTTTCAACAAGCGTTCATGATGGTGATAGGGGCGCCGCTGCTCGAAAGCTGACTGACGTTAGTATCACAGATTCCGTAGACTATTGTTGGGGAATTATATAGATAGATATATTTATAATCTTATTAAATCAGGAAAAAGCAGTCAAGACCAAAACTAAACCCTTAACGTCCTTAAAAATTGCATCCACCAGACTTTCATCTCCTTACAGCACTGCTACCCTGGAAGTGGCCTTGAATTCAGATTGCCACCTTCAACAACATCCAACAACAGTGTTACGAAAATAGGAAACTTCTAGTTTTTGAATTCTCACGTCTACACCGTGCTCCTGGATTCTTTTTTCGCTGATACCTCTTCGATGACCACTGAAGTTCTCTCAGTTTTCTTCCATACACCTTTGTAGGTAGTGGTTCCAATATCCAATATCCAATATTGATAGTGCGAGCGTAGAAAACTAGTAGTTTTTGATCTCTCGCGTCTAGTTCTTAGGGCTTGGTTCCAGTTGTTCGGTTCACTCCTGCAGTGGACGAGGAAATCCCCTCTGCTTTCTTGCTTTTAGCTTCGGTGAGGTGGATGTTTTGTGGGTTAGTAGGTTGTAATTTGTAGAGTGATTAGGGAGCTACGGGCTGCTGGGAAGTTTAGAGAACAACCGTGACTCCTGTCTGTGTAGGTACCTGAAAGAGAATATTAAGGTAGTGGTAAAGGAATGAAGAGAGAAATAAGGAAGAGTAAAAAAAAATAAATAAAAAATAAAAAAAAAAAAAAATAAATAAAATTAAAAATAAAAATAATAGTAATAATAATGTAGGGAAGAGGAAAGGGAAGGAGAATAAAAGAAGGGGTGAAGAGAGAAATGAGAACGAAAGAAAAGTATTTGGGAATTGCCCGAATGGTCGCGTGGGTTTGGTTCCTACAGAAGAATTAGTAGGTAATGTGGGTGTATTAAGGAGAGAGATAGTGAGTGGTAGTTAGGAGGGAGTTGGGGGTACTGAGGTTGGTGACTACCTGAGTACGTCCGTGGTAGTCCATGCGAGGTGACATAACTGTCTAATCGCCTCTTGAAAGAGTCGATTGAAGGAGCTATAACGATGTGTCGCGGTAAGGCATTCCATAAAGCACATACTCTCAGGGAGAAAAATTTGGACCTGAGTGTGGTGTTGGCTCTCTGGTGTGCTATCTTAAAGGGGTTTCCTCGTGAAGATCGTTCAGTTGCAGGCAAAATTGATTTGTTTGCATGGTCTGCCTGATGGGCGATCTTGTATGCCATAATGAGGTCACCCCTTTTCCTGCGATAACCCAAGGTAAATAGGTTGAGGTGTTTAAGTCTTTCAGGATACGTCTTTCCCCTTAGCCCCACAACACATTTTGTTGCAGTTCTTTGTATTCTTTCAAGGAGATTAGAGTCTCTCTTGAGTGTTGGAGGAGCCACCGTATTGAAGACCTCTAGGTGCGGCCGCACGTAGGATTTGAAAATGGTGAGGAAGAGTTCGGGAGTGAGGGCGCCAAGCTGTCTACGCAGAAAGTGTAGAATGGCGTTCGCTCTGGTTGTCATACCTTTGTAGTTGGAGCTGGTGTCCAAGGTGTCGGAGAAGTTGAGCCCCAAATCTTTCTCCATGGACACTCTGGTGATAGCACGGTTGCTCAACATGTACTGGAAGTCGGTCGTACTTGCCTCATTTTTACTGATGTGCATTACTTTGCACTTTTCCAGTTGAAGCTCAGGCCATTTTCCGACGACCAGAGCTCGAGTTGCTGCAAGTCCTTTTGTAGTGCTGCACAGTCGGCTTCTTCGTTTACCACCCTCCAAATTTTTATGTCGTCAGCGAAGAGGAGGATGGGTGAGGATATTTTGTCTGGCAGATCGTTGACAAAGAGGAGGAACAGAAGCGGTCCTAGGATTGCTCCTTGGGATACTCCTGACGTCGACGGTCTCCACTCCGACCTTATTCTGTTCACTTTAGTGCAGAACTGCCTCCCTTCCAGGTACTCCTTGAACCAAGAGAGTAGGGGTCCACTTATACCAGCTGACATGATCTTGTGAAGCAGTACTGTGGGTGGGACACTGTCAAATGCTTTGGCTAGGTCGAGAAATACAGCATGTACAGGTTTTCTATTATCCCAGCTTTGTGTCCAGTCGTCCCAGGCAGTTAGTAAGTTGGTGGCACATGAGCGACCACTACGAAAGCCGTGCTGAGCAGTGTGGACAGTGTTTTCTCTATTGAGGAATTCCCAGATGGTGTCAGCTACCAGGCTTTCCAACACTTTCGACACAATAGGGAGTAGGGCAATCGGCCTGTAGCTGCCAGGGTTTTTTCTGTCTCCTCCCTTGAAGATGGGTGACAAGATGGCACTCTTCCATTCTTTAGGGAGTTTGCACGAGTCTATTGAGTGCTCAAAGAGGTTGCGAAGTGGTTTGGTAAGCACCTCGGCGCAGTTTTTCAGAACCACTGGTTTCAGATTATCGCAGCCAGGGGACTTGCCCGGACGTAGCCTAGATAGCTTCTCGAACACCTTTTTCTCTGTAATAGAGACGTGACAGAGGTATTCGTTATTTGCGACCTGGTCGGTGTCGTGGCGAGTCGGTGTGGATCTTGTGTCAGTGCTGAGTTGGGCTTGGAAGTGTGAGCTCAAAAGCTCGGCAATCTCTAGACTGCTTAGCACACTCCCGTCATGGCCTGTGACAAGATTCACTCCCTTACTGGTCGACTTTCTTCTTGACATGAAGCGGTACAGGTTTTTGGGGTTGCTTTGTAACCTCGCTGCCAAGTTTGTTTGGTAGGAAAATCTGTCGTTACGCACTCTAATGTTACAGAGATTGCGAATCCTTTTGTAGTTCAAGAAGTCAGACTCCCTGCGTGATGTAAGCCACTTGAACCAAGCCTGCTTCTTGCTCCGGATAAGCCTCTCTGTCCCACGCTTTAACCATGAGGTTCTCATTGATTGTCTGTGTGTTACTTCTGGTACACTGTGACTGATGGCCCCAGTGATTATTTTCTTCACCTCCAACCAGTGTTCATCTATTGTGAGATGAGTCCAGTCCACTGGCCATGATGCATTCATGAGGTAGTCCCTCATGGTCTCATAGTTGGCCTTGCTGTAGCAAGGGAAGGTGTTGGGCGTCTCCAGTTGCAGAGCCTCCCTAGTTATCATGGAGAAGGTGATTACAGCGTGGTCACTGAGGCCAAGGGGAGGTTGGATGCAAACATCCTCAATGAGAAGTTCATCGTTCGTCAGAACGTAGTCAAGGCGCGATGCGTTTCCGTTAGGTCCCCAGCGTGTAGCATCACCCACTTTCTCTGAGAGGCCAGCAGTCTTAATTGCATCCTTCAGCTTCTGATTGAAGGATCTGATGCGTCTCCCTTCCGTCTCGAAGAGGATGGACGGGGTGTTGAAGTCGCCGGCAATGACTACGGAATCGTAATTTGCAGAGGAAGTCGTTAAGATAGCCTTGATGATCATTTCCTTATGTGTAGGGGAGCAGGTGGGGGACCGATATATGACTCCGAGCAAATATTTGGTACTGTGGAGAGTGAAGTAGCACCATAGGGACTCTGGGAGCTGGGTTAAGGCCGTATCGCTAACCATCCTTGCCTTTAAACAAGAGTTTACGTAGATAGCCACTCCTCCTCCTGCTCTATGTTCCCTGTCCCTGCGGAAGAGTTCCATGCCAGTAACATGCATCTCTTCGTCGGAGATGTCTGGCGAGAGCCAGGATTCGGTGATGAATATGATGTCGGAGTGCTGATGTGCACGCAGCGTCCTCATTTCTGCTACCTTCCCTCTTAGCCCCCTAACGTTGCTGTACATACATATTAGAGTGTGCCTGGTGAGGGGGAGGTCTGGTTGTGTATTTTCGCAGGATGACAGCTTATGTGGTTGGGTCTACCCTCGCCAGTCCTCATAGGACTGGCATTGTTCCGTTTTTTGGTGTTTTGTTATTAACTTGGGTGGGGGCTGTGGCAGTGGTGGCTTCTTTACTTGATGTATCTAACTCACTGGTCAGCGCCTGTGTGACGACCACTGACTCCAGAGGTCTTGGTGGTTGTCGTCTCTCCTCTTGCCTTGTGGGTCTAGGCTTACTTTCACATATACGTATTGAGCCACCCATGCGATCCTTCGCATTATACCATGCCTGTAGAACGTCTGTGAGGGAGGCATATGAGTCGAACTGGACGGCGAGTAGTCTGGGATTGGGTATGGTCTTCAGGTGCGCTGGCCTTGGCAGTCTACTGACGCTGTTGGCCGGTATACTGTTGAGACCAACTTTGGTTGAGAGCCATTGCCATTGTTGGACGTCATGAAAGTACCGATCTTTGACCGAGCGGTCACTTGGCAATTCTGGAATCCCATGTACAACTATAGTGTTGTTTCTGTTGGGATTTCCAACCGCTGACTTTCTCTCCTCCTCTCTTATTGACCATGGCTTGTCAGGCCTGGCCCGAATTTTACAGGCATTAACAACGTCCGGTTGTCGCGAGAGGAGGAGTGTGTCTTCAGCCTCTTTGGTAGTATTTAGGGACACACGTAAAGGGGGTGGCTTATCTCGGGGTGCACGGCTTCCTCGAGAAAGGCGACATAAAGTTGCAGGGAGGGGAGGGAGTCCTAGCATCTGACAGTAGTCGGTCCACATTCGGCTGTCAAACCGTTCCCTCTCGACCAACAATGAGTCTGTCGATACATCGACGTTGAACAAAATGATCGAGTTGGTCCTCCTGTGACCTGGGTTCGTTGTGGGTGGCACGCTTGACTTCCCAATGGGTTTGAGTAATTCCACTGGTTGTTTCTCAGTCACGGTGTGTAAGGTGTTTGGAATGGGTTTCGTAGAGGCTTTAGCGGTCGATGTCTTTGGCCATACGCTTGACGTCCCCTGGGGCCGGGTAGGAGGTATGGAGACTTGACCTAATATGGTCCCCACGCGAGGTGGCGTGCCGGCAGCTGGAGCTCTAGGTCTGTTTCCAGGTCTCTCTGTGTTATCTTTTGGTGTTAACCCTACTTTATTCGAGGGTGCTGGTAGCTTTTGCGTGGCGGAGAGCATCTCCTTCAGGCTTTCTGTGCGGAGTGCGGGCATTTTCCTGCACTCTGGACAGATGTACCAGAACCACTTGCATGGTTGTCTCTTCATCAGCTTATAGTATTGTCGGGGGACTTTGGTGTCGCAGTGGCAATGCGCCCATCGTTGACATAGGTTGCATGCAAATGCCTCATCGACTACCGAAACAACTTTGGTGCAAACACTGCAGCCATCGGGTGTCGTAATA